GCTGTGAGGGTTGTGCTGGGATTTACAGGCAGAAATTCAGCAAGTCCTGTGGTCTGAAAGGAGAAACCTGGGCAGAGCACGGGGAGAAAACAAGGAACCAAAAGATAAAAAAAGGGAGAAAATGGGGAAAAAGTCACAGAACTGGTGAGGGCTCAGCAGGAAGGACGTGGAGTTCATGTGTGGTAGGCAGGGGGGATGAAAATTTGGATTTCTTGTTGGAAAGGGTGGTCAGGTGTCACTGTTGGACACAAAATGAGTACACAGCAGTTCAAAAGAGAAAGTTTTAATCAAACATCTGGTATTTCTAGAATTCCAAAGGTGACCACGGATTGGAGGATGGAATTACCACCTCTCCAACCACACTGGTGAAACCAGCAGTCCATCAGTTCTCTCCTGCCACAGAGAAGGTGGCAAAACAATCATTATTTACAGGAACAGCGCGTGAGAAACTCCTGGAGAAATATCTAAACATCATCAGAAGGTTTATCAGAACTTTAAAACTTTCAAAAGAACTATAATAGAAAACACTTTTAAAAATCAGGGCAGCAGTCAGGCCTGGGAAGGGGTGTTGCTACAGGACACGAGAAGGCACAACACGAAACACTGCGATGGCAAGGTAAAAAAGAAGAAAGTTGATTTTTTAACTCACACCTTTTATATTTTATATTGGAGAGTGAATTGTCCACCTCTCCTAAGACATTGGACAAACCACCAGTACATCAACTTCCTCCAGGAATGTAAAACAACACGTTGTTTGTAGAAAATGTGTGGGGAAGTTCTCTAACAGAATATAAACTCAGAAGGTTTAGAAAATCCTCAGAATCGGGGCGACCAAGGGGCTGCCCGGGGAGGTTTGCAGTGCCCATCCCTGGAGGTGTCCAAGGGGGAGTGGACACAAGATGCCCTCGGTGGCCTTGGAGAGGATTTGGGGGTTCCGTGGTTTTTATGGCAGGCGGTGCCAAATTCCTGGCTCAGGCCTTTTCCAGGGGCTCCCAGCCTCTGCTGGGGCCGTTCCCTCCACCCCAGCTGAATTTGGGGTTGTTCCACCTCTGTCGCTGTTGAGGCAGGACGGGGATGAAGAGATCCAGAGCAGGAGGCTGTGAGAGTAAAAATTCCCATTTATTCAAAATACACAGCTCTTATACAGAGCTTCGTGAGGACCAAATCCATTCACCGAGTTCTGAAGTGAAAACAAGCCACAGCATTGGTGCAGAGTGCTTGACACACAGTGATAGAATTTAACTATAAACGATGTGAAAAACAAGAGAGATAAAGAATTATTTACATTCTTTCCCAGCTCTTTCCCAGGTTTCTGCCTGGCTCAAAATTCTCAGTTTCTTTCTTTGACTGAATCTGAGACCCACACATCTCCATGAAGCCACACATCCTTTTTAGATCCTTTTTAGAGAGATTTACAAAGTTTAGTGATCATTTTTAAAGAGATTTACGAAGTTTAGTGATCCTTTTTAGAGAGATTTACAAAGTTTAGTGATCATTTTAGAGAGATTTACAAAGTTTAGTGATCCTTTTCAAAGAGATTTACATAGTGATCCTTTTCAAAGAGATTTACAAAGTTTAGTGATCCTTTTTAAAGACATTTAAAAAGTTTAGTGATGATTTTTAAAGACATTTAAAAAGTTTAGTGATGGTTTTTAAAGAGATTTTCAAAGTTTAGTGATCCTTTTTAAAGACATTTAAAAAGTTTAGTGATGATTTTTAAAGACATTTACAAAGTTTAGTGATTCTTTTTAAAGACATTTACAAAGTTTAGTGATGATTTTTAAAGACATTTTCAAAGTTTAGTGACGATTTTTAAAGACATTTACAAAGTTAGTGACGATTTTTGAAGAAGTTCACCAAGGAGTGCCAGGAAGGTGCCAGGAAGGGCCGGAGCCGATCCCTGGAGCTGGCTGTGCCCGAGCTCTGCCGTGGCAATTCTGCAAAACTCGGGGCCTTTTTTGGAGCTTCGTCCGTGCCGAGGAGAGCTGGTCAGGAATTCTTGGTGCTGCCAAATGGTCAGGAGTTCTTGGTGCTGCCAAATGGTCAGGAATTCTTGGTGCTGCCAAATGGTCAGGAGTTCTTGGTGCTGCCATCTGGTCAGGAATTCCTGGTGCTGCCATCTGGACAGGAGTTCTTGGTGCTGCCATCTGGACAGGAGTTCTTGGTGCTGCCATCTGG